CGGAGCTAAGCCTCCTATTCTGTGGCTTTGTCAACATCTGGTAGGGGTGTAGCCGCTGGTGATTCCTTTGTAATAGGCACAACTAGCACGGCTGGTGGTGGAACCACATGAGGTGGTGCTGCTGGCGTAACATGATTCTCTACTCTCTCCTCGAGTGCTGCTAATCTAGCTACAATCGGCACCATGATGTCATTCAAGTACTATGGAGCCTGCTGCGGCTCAGGCTCTGACTCAACTTGCCTAGCTCCCGGAGTACGGGTTCTATCACAACCACGTCCTCGTCCCGACATCTATAAGTTCAGGAGGAGAGCTTATTAGACACAGTAAATGAAACCACAAGCATATATAACATAACATATAGCAATAGGAAAACATAACACATAGTATCCTCAAAAATACTATATAATCAAAGTAAGTTACGCATAAAAAAATTCACCAAAAATTTTCGAGTTATGCGTATTACAGCCTCACTCAATCTAGGAATTTCTAGCGAACTCTATACATGAGCCCTAGGAAACTATACACTAGCTCGACGACTCGACACATGATACCTTAAGGATATTGGAACTAGAGCTCTGATACCGACCGTGACGCCCCTAGTTTCACACATGGCTACAGTCTAAGGTGAATCCAAAGATCTCAAACCTGCTATGCACCAAACACTATGCATAAACATGTTTCACCATCACATTAATATCACTCTAGCAGATGTCAAATATAGAGAAGTGATGGTATAGGTAGATATATAAAGATGACATTACAAAGATCACAATATAAGAGAAGAGACATCCAATAAAAACTATAATTATGTTCCAACAGAAAAAAAGAGAATACATCTGATAAACTAAAATAAGATCAATGAGTTTCTAAAATATAAGAGTCAACTGAACAGTACAAAGGCACTCAGTCTCCAAAATAAAATACATCTCTACAAGACTTAAAAAGTAAATAAACTACTGTGGAGCACTAAATAACTATCTATGAATATAAACTATAATGAGTCTCTGTCAACCTGCGACTATCCGAATCCCTTACTCGCTGCCTAAAAAAGATGGAAATAATGAGCGTCAAAGCGCTGGTGAGAACATCTCCACCGCCCCCCAGGGGAAGGGGTTAGGTGTATAAAATACTAACCATAACACACACACACACACACACACACACACACACACACACACACACACACATATATATAGAGAGAGAGGGAGAGAAATTTTTATATCAATTTAAATGGACTATCCACCAAACTTTTAATCCATTGATGATACCTAGGGATCTATGCA